GATATTCTGTTGCTTATTTGGATAATTAATTAACGCTGGATATTAGATCTAAAGCGGTGACTATTGACGATTATTCGTCACTATTCGCCACTTTTCGCGACTGTTCGCCACTACTCGCACTATTCGAGACTATTCGCACTATTCGGGACTATTCGCTATTCGCTATTCGCGACTATTCGCTATTCGCTATTCGGGTTTTCCAGACACCCGTTTGTGTTGCCGCTACCACAAATCTGGGGACGATATCGATGTTTGATATAACCTTGCGGAAGTCTGGTATATGCCCCTAGTTTTTGAGACGCAACATCCCTTCCCAACACCAACCGCAACAGTTTTGTTGAAAAGCAGAGCATCGTCTGATGTTCTTGCTAACCGTGTTCATGTTTATTTCGAAAAAGCCAGGGAAAGTGGAGTTGAACTGATCGGTTTGAATCTTACAAAAGATATGTTTAATAGCCAAGATTTGAGAATAATTATTAAGTGTTTTGTTACACCTCTCGACTCAAAAATAGAAAAAAAAAAAAAAAAAAAAAATAGGAATGCCATTGGGATTTGGAAATAACTGGGCTAAAAGTAGGATTTATACATTTTGACACCTATTTTAGTGTGGGGATTGGTTGGTGTCTTTTAAGAAATTTTCACTTGAAGGTCAGCACACACGAGGCGATCAGTCCCTGCAACTAGCCCCCGGAAGAGTTTACACGAAGGGACTGGTCGCAGGGACTTGTCCCACGAACAGTTCACACGTAGCATTCTGAGAAACAAGTCGCAGGGACCTGTCCCAAAAATTCAAACTGGTTTGAATTCGTGGGACTCGTCGCAGAGACTAAACTTTGGTCCCTGCGACTAGATTTTGAAGCAAAAACGGCCAGTTCACACGATGGGACTTGTCCCCGCGACTTGTTGCAGGGACTAGTCGCTATGACTAGTCCCCTCGTTTGTGCTGACCTTTGATGTCGTTGTTCATCGAATTGTCAAACCAAGAAACTGACAACGATTTTTTATCTTGATTAGCAATGCTGGAGAGGTTGATATAACAGGAGGGACGTTGCCTCCTCTAAACGAACCGCCAAATGCAACAGCCATACTGGATAACATGTTTTTAAACTACGACAAACGACTCAGACCTCTATATGGAGGTAAGATCTTCTAAAATGTGGCCTAATTTTTCAAGTTTGGCATTTCTAAAGTCGGTCTCAATAAGAACAATCCTTGTTCGTTTTTGTTTCATTATGATCAGTCCTCTCAAGAGCTATTTTTTTACTCTTGATAAAACTTTTGTTTGAAGACAACGTTGTACATCAAAAAATCTACCCACTTTACCATGAAATAACTCCTTTAATTCTCTCGAGCATTCCAACCGGCAACCTAGTGGAGGCCTCGTGGTAAGTGCGCTCGGCTTGGAACGAGCGGTCTGATTTTGAGCCTTGGTTGTGTTTTTTGTCAAAACACTTTACTCCCACCGTGCCTTTCTCCACCCAGGTGTATAAATGGGTACCGGCGAATTTAATGCTGGGGGTAACCCTGTGATGGACTAGCATCCCATCCAGGCTGTAGTAGAAATACTCTTAGTCGCTTTATGCCATAGAAACCGGAGAAAGGCTCCGGACTGATGTGCCACTTGGCTCTTATAAAGACTTTACCTTTTAACGCTTTACTTTCCTATACTGCCACTCCAGGTTTGCAATATATATAGTCCCTTGGCTCTAAGTGGAGCATATGTCACATGATCCACAGTTTTCTTCCACTGGGTCTGCAATAGATCCGGTAAAATTTATCCATGGTTTGACGTCTTGATCTCCAGAGTCTTTGAATATGTAAACAAATTATTATTAATTTAGAAGCCATAAAATTGGTAATTGAAACTTTTCTATTGTTATTTATAGGTGGAGATCCTGTTCGCATATATGTCTCGCTAGGTTTCCTCTCCATAAGTCATGTCGTGGAAGAAAACATGGTAATCAGTTTTCATTGATTCAGCTTCACGTTCTAATACTTGCTCATCTTAAGATAACTAGCAAACATTATTGGCATTTGGCAAATGTAGGTTCGTATGCAGCATCCACATTTGACTGGCAATTACTTAGCTTAATCCAATTATCTACTTGAGGTTGATTAGTTACTGGATCGCCGTAGCGAATTTGTGACGCCAACGTTTCGAACGCTAGCTATTCGTTTCCACTTTTCTCGATCCCTCAGCTTCGCAAACTCCTAAGAGCTTCTTCGTGGGAGGCTATCCCTGCGGCGGTCTATTTGCCTTTATCAACTTCAATTCCAAATTCTTCTCCCGCCCGTTGACGTAGCCTAACAGTTTCTCGAAGAAACTAATGACTCTGCTCATTCATCGATTTGCTAAGCTCACAATCGTCTATTCTGGAGTTCAGTACCCTTGAACCGTTCACCGTCGGCCACCTCATGCACTTAAACGACCAGCTGATTCCTCCTCCAAATTGTAGGGCGATGCACTAACTGTCAGGTGAAAAATGACTCGTTTTTACTGAGATCTAATAGCCGAGACCCGAGATGTACAAAATTTCACCGGTAGTTGCGATATTACCACCCCCATCGAGACTTCGCTATTCTGTAGCCAGCTTCCAGTCAGTAAAAGCGAATACGTGGCTTAGAATTTTCTTGGACCTGGCCGTAATTTTCACTTACTTGGAACTAAAGTTCTTTGGAAATGGTAACGTGATAGTAAAACCATTATTAAGGTGACAGCGATTTAACGGGAGCATTTTATGTTTTAAAACAGGAATTTAAGGGAGACATCTATATGCGCCAGTTCTGGAAGGATCCAAGACTGAGTTACGGTGACAAGAACTGGACTTTGATTCTTCAAGGAGATGTCCTCGACAAGTTATGGTTTCCTGATACGTATATTGAAAATGCGAAGAAAACGACCATCCACGATGACACCAAAACGGTGATTGTGTTTGGAGACGGAAATGTGTTTTACTCAGTCAGGTAATGTTGAGCTATGATTCGTCATTTTGCATGGATCGGACCCTTTCACAACAACAATAACAACAACAACAACAACAACAACAACAACACACTTTATTACCAAAATGAAAAAAAAACACGTAGGGGCCAAACCACCCCCAAATGTTTCTTCAGTTCTTGGGTACTTCACATTATTTCGCATTACTTAAAAAGTATTGACTCTTTCTACCCCAAACTTGGCAGATGAGCAGGAGACCTATTGCCAATGATATTTATGTGAAAAATGTCAGTAAATGTCAAAGTTGTGACGTCACAGTGATGACGTCATGTTTTTTGCCACTTTTGAAGCTTTTAATGTGT